GAATTTAACCCTTACCGGATTGTAAATGATGTATTTTTTTTAGTGAAAATTATCTCTTAGATAGAAGTTTATTACTACATGGGGTGTATTTTTGGTGGGACAACAACTTATTTATTTTATTTCTTTGATTAATTATGCATGTAGGGTTAATCAGCAACTCTGAATAGATGAATAGACGAATTTAACGCCTATTGGATTGTGGGGCATGAAATATTTTAATTTCTTTAATTAATTACGCTTAAGGGGTTGATCAGCAACCCTGAATACGGGAACAGAAGCATTCAACCCCTATTGGATTGTAAATTATGTATTTTTTTGAGTGAAAATTCTCTCTTAGATGGGAGTTGACTACTACAGGGGGTGTATTTTTCGTGGGGCATCAAATATTGTAATTTCTTTGATCAATTACGCATAAAGGGTTAATTATTAACCCTAAATACATGAGTAGACGTATTCAACCCCTATTAGATTGTAAATTATGTATTTCTTATAGAAAATTCTCTCTCAGACGGGAATTGATTACTACATGGGGTGTCCCATTTGTAGTGCACCACCTATTTACATTTCTTTTATTAATTTGCATTAAGGGCTGATCAGCAATCCTGAATACGTGAATAGAAGAATTCAACCCCCATTGGATTGAAAATTATGTATTTTTTTTAGTGAAACGTTTGTCTTAGATGGCAGTTGACTACTACAGGGGGTGTCTCATTAGTGCCGTACCGCCTATGTGCCATTTCTTTGATTAATTTGCATGATGGGTTAATCAGCAACTCTGAATACATAAATAGACGAATTTAACCCCTACCGGATTGTAAATTATGTATTTTTTTAGTGAAAATTATCTCTTAGATAGGAGTTTATTACTACAGGGGGTGTATTTTTGGTGGGGCATCAACTATTTATTTTATTTCTTTGATTAATTATGCATGTAGGGTTAATCAGCAACCCTGAATAGATGAATAGACGAATTTAACCCCTATTGGATTGTGGGGCATCAAATATTTTAATTTCTTTAATTAATTACGCTTGAGGGGTTGATCAGTAACCCTGAATACGGGAACAGAAGCATTCAACCCCTATTGGATTGTAAATTATGTATTTCTTATAGAAAATTCTCTCTCAGACGGGAATTGATTACTACATGGGGTGTCCCATTTGTAGTGCACCACCTATTTACATTTCTTTTATTAATTTGCATAATGAGTTAATCAGCAACCCTGAATACATAAATAGACGAATTTAACCCCTACCGGATTGTAAATTATGTATTTTTTAGTGAAAATTATCTCTTAGATAGGAGTTTAACTACAGGGGTTGTATTTTTGGTGGGGCAACAACTATTTATTTTATTTCTTTGATTAATTATGCATGTAGGGTTAATCAGCAACCCTGAATAGATGAATAGACGAATTTAACCCCTATTGGAGTGTGGGGCATCAAATATTTTAATTTCTTTAATTAATTACGCATAAGGGGTTGATCAGCAACCCTGAATACGGGAACAGAAGCATTCAACCCCTATTGGATTGTAAATTATGTATTTTTTTGAGTGAAAATTCTCTCTTAGATGGGAGCTGACTACTACAGGGGGTGTATTTTTCGTGGGGCATCAAATATTGTAATTTCTTTGATCAATTACACATAAAGGGTTAATTATTAACCCTAAATACATGAGTAGACGTATTCAACCCCTATTAGATTGTAAATTATGTATTTCTTATAGAAAATTCTCTCTCAGACGGGAATTGATTACTACATGGGGTGTCCCATTTGTAGTGCACCACCTATTTACATTTCTTTTATTAATTTGCGTGAAGGGTGGGTCAGCAATCCTGAATACGTGAATAGAAGAATTCAACCCCCATTGGATTGAAAATTATGTATTTTTTTTAGTGAAAAGTCTGTCTTAGGTGGCAGTTGACTACTACAGGGGGTGTCTCATTAGTTCCGTACCGCCTATGTCCATTTCTTTGATTAATTTGCATAATAAGTTAATCAGCAACTCTGAATACATAAATACACGAATTTAACCCCTACCGGATTGTAAATTATGTATTTTTTTTAGTGAAAATGATCTCTTAGATAGAAGTTTATTACTACAGGGGGTGTATTTTTGGTGGGGCATCAATTATTTATTTTATTTCTTTGATTAATTATGCATGTCGGGTTAATCGGCAACCCTGAATAGATGAATAGACGAATTTAACCCCTATTGGATTGTGGGGCATTAATTTCTTTAATTAATTACGCTTGAGGGGTTGATCAGCAACCCTGAATACGGGAACAGAAGCATTCAACCCCTATTGGATTGTAAATTATGTATTTTTTTGAGTGAAAATTCTCTTTTAGATGGGAGTTGACTACTGCAGGGGGTGTATTTTTCGTGGGGCATCAAACATTGTAATTTCTTTGATCAATTACGCATAAAAGGTTAATTATTAACCCTAAATACATGAGTAGACGTATTCAACCCTTATTAGATTGTAAATTATGTATTTCTTATAGAAAATTCTCTCTTAGACGGGAGTTGATTACTACATGGGGTGTCCCATTTGTAGTGCACCACCTATTTACATTTCTTTTATTAATTTGCGTGAAGGGTTGATCAGCAATTCTGAATACGTGAATAGAAGAATTCAACCCCCATTGGATTGAAAATTATGTATTTTTTTTAGTGAAACGTTTGTCTTAGATGGCAGTTGACTACTACAGGGGGTGTCTCATTAGTGCCGTACCGCCTATGTGCCATTTCTTTGATTAATTTGCATGATGAGTTAATCAGCAACCCTGAATACATAAATAGACGAATTTAACCCCCACCGGATTGTAAATTATGTATTTATTTAGTGAAAATTATCTCTTAGATAGGAGTTTATTACTACAGGGGTTGCATTTTTGGTGGGGCAACAACTATTTATTTTATTTCTTTGATTAATTATGCATGTAGGGTTAATAAGCAACCCTGAATAGATGAATAGACGAATTTAACCCCTATTGGATTGTGGGGCATCAAATATTTTAATTTCTTTAATTAATTACGCTTGAGGGGTTGATCAGCAACCCTGAATACGGGAACAGAAGCATTCAACCCCTATTTGATTGTAAATTATGTACTGTTTAGAGTGAAAATTCTCTCCTAGATGGGAGTTGACTACTACAGTGGGTGTATTTTTTGTGGGGCATCAAATATTGTAATTTCTTTGATCAATTACGCATAAAGGGTTAATTATTAACCCTGAATACATAGTAGACGTATTCAACCCCTATTGGATTGTAAATTATGTATTTCTTATAGAAAATTCTCTCTCAAACGGGAGTTGATTACTACATGGGGTGTCCCATTTGTAGTGCACCACCTATTTACATATCTTTTATTAATTTGCGTGAAGGGTTGGTCAGCAATCCTGAATACGTGAATAGAAGAATTCAACCCCCATTGGTTTGAAAATTATGTATTTTTTTTAGTGAAAAGTCTGTGTTAGGTGGCAGTTGACTACTACAGGGGGTGTCTCATTAGTGCCGTACCACCTATGTTCATTTCTTTGATTAATTTGCATGATGAGTTAATCAGCAACCCTGAATACATAAATAGACGAATTTAACCCCTACCGGATTGTAAATTATGTATTTTTTAGTGAAAATTATCTCTTAGATAGGAGTTTATTACTACAGGGGTGTATTTTTGGTGGGGCATCAACTATTTATTTTATTTCTTTGATTAATTATGCATGTAGGGTTAATCAGCAACCCTGAATAGATGAATTTAACCCCTATTGGATTGTGGGGCATCAAATATTTTAATTTCTTTAATTAATTACGCTTGAGGGGTTGATCAGCAACCCTAAATACGGGAACAGAAGCATTCAACCCCTACTGGATTGTAAATTATGTATTTTTTTGAGTGAAAATTCTCTCTTAGATTACTGCAGAGCGTGTATTTTTTGTGGGGCATCAAATATTGTAATTTCTTTGATCAATTACGCATAAAGGGTTAATTATTAACACTGAATACATGAGTAGACGTATTCAACCCTTATTAGATTGTAAATTATGTATTCCTTATAGAAAATTCTCTCTCAGACGGGAGTTGATTACTACATGGGGTGTCCCATTTGTAGTGCACCACCTATTTACATTTCTTTTATTAATTTGCGAGAATACAGCACTATTCGATTGTAAAGTATATATTTTTTTTGAAAAACTGATTCTCTCTTTTCTGGAGTATCAAATATTTCATGGTTCACATTTGCATATTTATGACCAAATAGCTATTGCTAATTTCATATTAAATATTCAAAGCTAATGCGGAAATATCTTGCTCGAGCTATTTCCAAAGGGTAAGAGTCTTGCATAATATTAATTTTAGAACTGATTTCAATAATACTTCCTAGTTATTTTTCCATTTTAAACTCATTTAAAATTGAGACGTGGCATGAAATTTTAAAGCCATCCGTGTCAATACACGAACGGAATGTTACCACCGACACTTACTTGAATGAAGGTAGGTATATGTCAAGATTAATCAATAAACCAACTCGATGGCGGTACATGCATGCAATCAAATGCGGGCTGTAACAATATTTGCACGGTGCATTACGGCAGCGACCCCGTGGCATTTCAAATTTCCACCCTTTCGAATATTCCGCAATTAAAGCATGAGTAAAAAATACGTTTCACACGACCACCAGAAACGCGCGTTATTGGACTGAATTCCGTCGAAACAAAACTTCTAATTGCTTTTTTTTGCACGTTAATGGACGTGCCTTCGGGTTTATCTCGCAATTTTGTAAATACAACAGTCTTTCTATTTGGCTGGATAAACAACTTGTTTATTGATCTGCGACACTAAAAATGGTTAACATACAAAAATGGAAGCATTTCAACTAGAGCTTGCTTAACTAATTGTATGCTGCTCCGAGGAGTTCCACAAGGAAACATATTTGGGCCCAATTTATCCATTGAAAATGTTATTAATAATAATAAAGCAAGAAACTTACCAATTTTTCATTTTCATCCTCCATCTCCAAACGGGCCGCTATACAATTCCGTGTATCCAAAAAGGCTTTCCTCTGGGCGTGCTCCATGAGGTTATGCATAAATATTCCGACGATATTCACGCACATAAAAACGAGGACGTTCGCGATCAACTGGAATACAAAAAAAATTACTTTAACATGAATATTTTTTCTAAAAACGATTAAATTTGGCGTGAATTTGCAGTGAAAGTACACCAGAAACAAGGACGTTTTCATTCTCTCAGTTTCAAAATCAAAAATGTTTCTATAGTCTTTAGTGCACATTTCTAATTTAAATGAGGGGAATTCTCAAAAGAATTAAAGGGGAAAGAATAGAGGGGCGCAAGTCACGGGGATTAATTAACCAGGTTGATTGGATAAACAGGGAAATTGCGAAAGGTAGCGCTCATACGAACCCGCAAATATACCTACCTCGAGGGGGCGGAACAAATTGGACAACTTGTCAATCGTTGAAATACAAGTACCCTAATCCATAAATCAGACTATTAAAGTTCCCACAGCTGACGACAGATCTTTGTATACATACGAGGGACCCAAAAATTTAGTAGTTGAAAATTGCCTCCACTCGACAATCTTTGCAATAAATATTTACATTGTTGAGTCGTGAGGAAAGTCTTTGGAAAGGTATACCAGCATTCAGTCTTTAGACTAAAAAATCGCTAAATTCAAGCAACAAAGTTGTTCGTTTTCTATCGTAATGATATTGAAACTCCACTTATAATTAGCATCCCGTATATTTGATTTGTGACCTTTGTTTTTCAATGAATGAACATCTACATAATGAATTCCCCCGGGGAATGCAGGCTCAGTATTTATGTTTGACGTTAAAACCACGGCAATTAAAACTTTTACGTTGGAAAACTACTCGCGCTTTAATTAAAACACATGTGAGATGCGTTGTGCCATTGAATAAGAAATTCATATTCCTTACTCATGACGAACGTGCTTTTTTCTTATTGAAAATAATCCGGTTTTTTCTCTGTGCTAATTACTTGTTAACAGTTTTAATTAATGGCGCTAATAGGATTATTGTTCTAACATATTCTAACTGTTCCACGTTCCATTTTAAAATCCCGTTTCTGAGAAGATACAAATTGCTAAGCATCCGACTTGCAATTTTATAGAAAAAACATAATCTCACCTTAATCAGGAATAAAAATGCCTCAACAACCCTCTGTTCATTTTCCGTCACGTTTAATCCTTCAAAAAAATTTATAGTCCCCTTCCCCTACTTCTTCAAGAATACCTACTTACGAATTTCGCATTAACCTTCTACCCATTTCCACAATTTTTGTTCTGCTTTTAACCTCCACGTCTTCTTCCACCAATACCGAAAGTAGGTATATCGTAATTATTAATTAAATTTAACCCTTCTGAATCAGCAACAATTTTTTTCAACGTTTAAAATTCCCTTCCTCCACTTCTTCCATCACCAGTACCAAAAATAGGCACTTCACAGCCACCCTCTAGCCATTTTTTATACAGTTGAACCTTTTTGAACTGAAGTAGAACCGGAGTAGATCCTGAAAATGATCGTAATCCAAAGTGCTGGAGAAACAACAAGCAATTGGCGCATCGTAGACCACAGGAGGGCCCCAAGCGACAAACTTTGATTGTCGTGGTGGACCAAACTTCCTGGGACAAGAAGGGGTCACTTGCAACCATAGACCTTGCGTCAAACTAATCTCCAAGACGAAAATAGAGGTAGAAGAGATGACAACCATCGAGTGCAAAGAAGTCACAAGAATTGAGGGGACCTCAGGAGAACTACAACCAACTCTACCAACCACCGCACTTCAATGGTAAGCACGATTTTCCTTTATTTTATTAACGGTAAATCGGTCCATCCTATGAGGCAAGCTGTCCCACAACATAAGAAAGAAATTGAATAAATTCCAAAAGGTGCCAGACTCCAAAGAGAAACAGAAAAAGAAACAGAGGGTACAATCGGTTCCCTGAAAAAAATTGAGGGAGATTATACAGAGACCCTTGGAGCTTTTGTTTCAATCACACTTTCCCGGGATCAAAAACCTCGCTCAAAATGACGCGGGTGAACCAATTACTCTGGAACCACTTGTCAGGGGGGCAGGCGAGATTGGGTTTTGACTCAGCAGATAGTGAATCTAATCCAAATACAATAAGGCCCTAAGAAAGGCAAAACTAGACTCGTGGAGGAGGTACTGCGGGGAAATTAAACAAATTCCAGAAGGTACCAGACTCCAAAGAGGAACAGGAAAAGGCACAGAGGGTAGAATCGGTTCCTTGAAGAAAATTTAGGGAGGTTATACAGAGACCGCAAAGGAAACCTTGGAGCTTTCGGATACATACCTGGGAGGTAGGGTGTTCGAACCTGGGCTGAGGTAAGAATTTTTCATCTGTGGCAAAGATGGGAATTTCCTTAGATCAGTTTCGAGCATTCTGCGGTCTACTCCGAACTAAGTTTTCCTAATTCGTAAGGTAAATACCGGAGCAGTATAGAATTTCTGCGGAAGCACCTCTAAAAAGCATTATGCAGGATCCAGAACAAGAGGGACAATAAATAAATAAATTGCGGCAATACCAAAAATATGGCGCGTTGCTGAATAAGATTCATTCATTTTGTTTTATACCTTCGCCTAAGGAAATGCCGCAGGAAATCAATTTCTTTCCAGTTAAAACGAAACCGAAACAACAAAATTATGTTCCATATGAATTCTACGCAACTTTTAGAAAAACCCGCTTGAATAAAATACAGTTTAAAGCTATTGTTTTAAATTAACTACTATATCATTACAGATACCACGAAAACAATAGTATTTTCCTTGGATGATAAACCACGTAAACGAAATGCTAAAATAACAACCTCATAATATTTCCGTCTTTACTTTGTGTTTATATTTCGGTCTCGTAATTCTTGAACCAAAGAAAAGCTATCTAAATTGGATATAAATCGAGCCCTCGCCGCCATTTCTTCGCCTGATATTTTCGCGATGGTTATCTTAGTAAATAACTCCAAAAGGGTGACAAGATCACTAGTATAAAATTAACCAAGAAAAGTAGAGTAAACTAAGTTCTGTTTTAGGGGACGTATTAACAACGCCTTTTGCTATATTATCCAATAAAAAATCCGCCAGCTTCATAACGAACAATTATAGAAGAATAACTGCCGTAGATCTAACTGCGATATTCTGTGCCAAAAATGCCATCTGGTTTACCAAGAAAAAGTAAGCAACTTATTTACCGGAATAATATTTAAACAATTACAGGTAGTTTCCGACATTCGAATAGTTCGATTTATAGGCAGATTTCGAGTACTTTATTAACTCTACTTTAAATGAATCCGTGTTAACCTAAACTAAGCATTTAATTATTTAGAAAGTACTTACGAATCGATTGTAAGAAGGGGACTTGAGAAACGCGTGCAATCTCCCGAAAAATAATACTTATAGTCGGAGTGGCCCATGTATAACGACAAAAAAAAACGGGGTAATAAAATATCTTCAGCTACCCCAACACAGTAGTTAAGTGATTTATCTCAGGCGCTCCTCTATTCCACTTTTTACTTTATAATTAAAAGAAAATTACATCCGAGTCTTGCTTGGCTTATTTTTCGTCCGCGGTCATTAAATCAAGTTGCACGTAATTAACGATGAAAGAATGATGAATAGTTTAATAACGCGCCGCTGGAGATCCTCGGGACGCTATTTATAGGCAGTTTAGTGACATTTGGCAATTTTTTTAACTGTGAAATGAACTCGGGCAGGGAGGTGGCATAGACACAAAGGAGAAAGAAATGAATAGGTGGATCGAAATCACTATAAATGGAGATATACAAGGGAAGAAAAATTTTATATCTCGGAAGAGTAAAATCAAAGTCATAATACAATACTTAAAAGCCTCCTTTACAGCATTGAATTAAATTATGTTTTATTCAATGTCTATACCTATAGTCAATTTGAATTTCAATGTGTCAAATTTGTGGAAATGGTTAGACCACCAACAATACACATTCCTTTCCAACTCTCCCTTTTATGTTTAAGAATATATGTACCAAATAGCACAAGATTAGTTCGTTTTATTTGAATTTGTATTTCAATGTTTGTTTTTCCTTTTAGAATTGTTTGTAATTGCCTAGTTTTCGTTTTAATTTCAATTTAGATAGACACATGGTCGCTTGCGATCAGAAGTTTTATTGTTGGGCGAAATCTAATAAAGCACGTGTTCTGGTGCTGATAACGAAGAATTACGTGTTTCATGTTGGAGAAGTGGGGCATTTGGCGATTTATTTGAAAATTGTTAAAGAAGTTTATTTTATAGTGGACGTGGTGTTTCCTTAAATACTGGAGACAAACAAGAAAGCGAAGCTGTTGGTTTCGCGACGGTTGAAGAGCGTATAATTTTTGTTTACATTAAATTCTCGGGCAGTCAGCTCTATTTTCTTAGTTGAAGACGCAGTTCGTGATTTTTATAATAAATTTGTGCAGAAGCAAGTTATTTTAGAGAGCTAAAGTCATTACATTTTACACAATAGTACGCCTGATACAAGAACCCTAATACGTAAAAAGATGTGACATTAAATTAAACCGTGTCTGACAATAAATTATACACGCCAAATGACTCTAAGTGTAAGCTGTCCTTTATCGTAAGATTTTGGGTGATGTAATAGAGCAATAACAAACAAGTCTTACCTGCTGCCACATGAGATCCGGTAATCCTTTCGCAAAAACGGAAGCCACGGCAACATGGGCACAGCATAGTAAACAACCGAACACGGCAGCTATCCATGCCTTTAACGGCATCATCGCGTACGCCAAAAAAACAACGAAAACAACTTGCCAAGTGCCTTCGGCGGCAACCTTCGCCGTCGCGCTCGAAAAATACAAAGGCAACGCGACCGCGCAGAACGTCGCGAGAAAAAACAAAACCGCGTAACAAACCCACAGCAGGTACGCGTCCTGCATGAACCGAGTATGCAGGAAACCCAAAAGTACCGCGAAGAGGATGCAGTGCGCCGCGTGGTAGATGTTTTGAGTGGTCGGCGCGTGCGAGTAACCGAGTCCTAAACATGCCAAGAGGGCGGTCAGCAGAACGAAAAGCGCGACGACCGCCACCACGCTCGAGTGCTGCAATTTGCAGATGTAACGCTGGTAGAGCTGCTCCAGTTCGTCGTTTTCGAAACGATGCGGATTGAGGAGTCTGCCCAGCAGCCTGGGCGACGTCATCGCTTTCACGCTGTGATCCATGGCTGGGAGTGTGATGAGCGCTCAGGAGTACTTCAGTTTTCGTCGACGTGCCATCACTGAAACAAAAGATGAAGATTAGAATTGGTCTGGACGAATTTCAGTTAGACAAATGAAATAATTGCGATCGCGGCTTTCCGTTCGTGTAAACAAGTTGGAGCTTTGATGGACATCCGTTTCTTCGCATTTGTTTTGATTTGGACTATTAATATCCGATCGTAACTAAGACTTGGCAGTACATCCAAGGTTGTAAAGCCATAAACTGAACAATGCTTTCCAAAAATAGGAGGATTTGAAATGCAAATCGATCGCAGCATCGTACGACGCGCGGTGATTTTTAAATTTTACCCTTGTGTTCTTCAGAGCACCCCCCTCCACTCCACATTGCGCACTTTTTCCAATGGTGTTTCTACTGTGACAAATTCTTTGACTTTTCCAGAGCTTGTAATGTCCCGTTGTTTCGTTGAATGTACCCTTGGTTTGAGTGACTGGATATGCTCTTAGTGTTAGGAGTAGGTGGTACCATTGGGATTGAGAAAAATATCACTTTTGCTTTTGTCGTTTTAAATGACCGGTTCTGATTTTTGCGAAAGATGATATCTGAAGTAGAAAATTCCAGAGTCATCACGCTAAAATTGTTTAAACTATTTATCTAAGCGTCTTTACGCGAATAGGGTCTGGTTTTATCCTTTTGAGGTACATTTATTTTTATAGGATTCCTTATTTTGTAGGGAAACCAATTATGATAGTTTTGCATAATTATTTTAGGTACTAATGGTGAAAACCACTTTCGTTAGCTTCCGTGAGATGCCGCCACCTACCTTTCCAATTATCTCAAATTCCACTTCCCGTTAGTGCCTTCCCGATTACCATTTCCACATATTCCCCCAAACATAACCAGCTGTTGCATATAAACGCGAGTGTCCAGCTTTTTGAGCTCACCTTCCTTTAGTTCAAAACCTTTTACCAGAACAACCCTCCAGAACTCTTGCTCTTCCAGAAGCATAGACAGATGCTTTGAACCCTAGGTCTGACTTCCGTTCCCGTAAAATTCAGTATAGCTAACCTCCAGAAGCTAACGGCTGGTACTGCGTACCTGGTCAACTTCCGGATCTCCTGTTGTTCTAACCATTGTCAAAAGCTTGGTATGTTAGGACGGTACTTTGTACCTATGCTCTGAGAACCATCCGGATTTATTACTAATCTCCGGATTCCTGTATACCTTTTGAGTTAATTAAAACCCATTCTAATTTTATTATCCCCTTAATTAAAACCTTGTTAATTTGTTAAACTGCATAATAATCAAATACCCGATATTCAATTCAGTTATTTTTGTTTGTTTTAGAACCGTTTCATTTTTCATATTACGGGAATCCTACAAAGGCAGAATCCACGTACATTATTCTACTAAATAATAAACAAGAAGGTCACTCACCTATTGTTTGAACATTAATTTTATTAACTATACTTATAATTTATTTAGGCGTTAATTATCCGTCCGATTGTAAAGGAGTTTAACAAACACAAGCACCCGATACGTGTCCGGCGTCAACTGCAGGTATCACACTGACCGTCAACTTAGGTAACAACCCATTGACGTGCGGAGTCAGTCAACATAGGCGTGCCAATTTAAATTATTGTTACATTATTTTGTTGTATTGAAGAACAATATATGTACTAAGCGGTCTCCGCTTTCTACTGGTTTTACTACCGAAGCCTGCTGCCCGAACCAGCACTTTGAACTCTCAATTTTCCAACCCCGATTCCAATAGCCGCCGAAAATTGGAAGCTTTATAATTTGTTAACACGTTTCTTTTTAGGTGATGCCATACTCTTTCTTTTCCCTATATAGCAATCCGAAACCCATTTATTAATAGGGTACGTAAGTTTGAATTGGGTCTGATTTTGGCATTGTAGTTTTTGGATGTATTTTTTACGTTACGAGCATTAGGGTACTCGTATGCAACAAGTACCGTATACCCTTTTCCTTCTCGAGGTTCGCTGTAAGCTAACCGGCCCTCCCTAAGCCCAGATAAAAGCCCAAAAAAAAGAGAATAAAATGAAAGCTCCGAATAAACTTCCATTCCTATACTCGCCTAGATCTGGAAAGCGCCAAACCATCTAGAAGACCATGGAATATCTGCTAAACACGTTTCGAGTCTCTTAAGTACTTTGGCGATATTGGAAAGCCTTTTGTAACAAGTTAACGCTTGACCCTAGGCTTGACCGAACCCTTAAAGGCTTTCAGAGCACTCTAGAAGTGTGTAGTGCTCTAACGCCACTGAAAATGGCCTGGAAAGTTCTAAAAATGTGCACAAATGCTTCGAAGGCGATAGAACACTTTGGACAGTGCAGGTACTCGATAGAGCGCTTCTAATAAAAGCGCTTAAAGGCTTGCTAGAGCCTTGATTGATCTTTCTAGACCTAATTTACCTAGGAAACTTTGGAAAACGCCCATAAATCTATGACAGAGCGTGGAAAACTGTTGAACGGGTGTACAAAAGTCTCACGACGCCGACGGTTTGGAATCGCATGCCTGTTGAGGGCCCAAAACAAGAAAGGGATAAATTAAAAAAAAAAAGATGATGAACAAGACTAAAAGGCAAACGGCCTGAGATGCTGTTTTTGAAAGTAAAACGTGCCTAACTTTTACATGCGACAATCAATTGGTCTCGTTACATATGCATGCCTGTAGTGGTGCCATGTAAAACTTTTAACAATGGGAGGGGCGGAGGGATGGACACAAGTTCTACCCTTCATGAAAGCTCTCACCGAAATGAATGAATTGGTTTCTACAAAGTATAACTTTCCTACATGACTCCTTTTAGAGATCAGTGGGAGACGGGGAGAGAGGGAGGATTGTAATTAAAGGTCTCAACATAAGCAACTGTTTCCTACCAACTACTTTTTTCTTACCTCTTATCAAAAACGATGTTTCGGGGAGGGAGGAAACTGGTTTTATAATTCATGGTACTCTAATGAAAGGTCTCAACGAAACGAATCAATTTCCACCAACCATAGTCCTCCTGGGCCCCTCGTCGTGATCGGTTGTAATTCCTCATATTTCAAGAGCGAATTGTCGAAGGAGAGTACTCACAAAGGGCGATTGGGACGTCTGGAAGAAAAATATTCATTGGTGATGGCAAAACCTTTGACCGAATATCTCGAGGCAAAATGAATTGTCTGGACGAAACATATCTAGGTTTTTTTTCATAGCTATATCAGTCTAGAATAATCTTAAAAGGAGCAAATAGAAGCTCGAGAAACTCGAGTGCCTTTGGAAACATTCTAAGCTTTCCAGAGCGCTTTTCGGGACTCTTCTAAAGTTCTCCGGACTAACATCAAAAGTTTCGAAGCGTTTCCAAAGTTTCCAAGACTCGTCTTGAACCGGAAACGGCCAATAAGACGTACGAGAAAATCCGCGACAGGTTCTTGAAACCATGGGACTGCTAGACAAAGTCGTCTAAACAGTTTCGTGAGTGGGTTCCAAAGCATTCTAAAACAAAATAAAGCTTTGACACGATGAAATGTCTAAAACGCTTTGGGGAGGACTTAGGGTCCAGAGTGCTCTGGAATGTAGCCTGAAAATGCCCCCTCCAAAACCCTCGAGAAGTTCTGTCTAGGCCACCTTTATAGCTTTCTTAGTCTCATCTAGAGCTGGAAAGGATTTAAAAGAAAAAAGTCTAGAAGGTGCTGAACTACCTTCTAAACGTGTTCCAGGATCCCGTAAGGCATTGGATACCTTTTCGGAATAAATGAAGGCTTTTCTACAGTGCTCTAAGGATCCAAAACCTGGTAAGTCTTAAACAAACCCACAAAACGCGGGGACTCACAATTGATGCCAAATTAGACCGATCTGGTCAAAATAGCTCATGTCAGTCAACAACTCTAATTTGTGCCGAACTCGCCTTCCGCTCGTACGGGACTCATTAAAACAACAGGCGAATTGGAAATAATCGAGACATGTTCTACTATTGTTACTGATATGAAGTATTGCGAAGTTGCTGGATCATTGCGGAAACCAAACGGCATCCGCTGCGCGTTAAAATTTTTTCGTTTCTCTCCCACCAGTTCGTACCTTATTTCATCTCGCACCTTCGTAGTTTTAAGCATCGTAAAAACCTGCCTAACGGGGTCAGAACAAACCCAAAAAGCTGTACAAGTATAAAAGCTCTGAAAAACTGACTGAAAACGCGTTTAAGCTTCCGAGAACATGAAGAAAGTGGGTCTCAATTTCTCTTCTTATAGTTTTCGCTCATTGTCGTTGATGTATCAGTGCCCCGCCCGTCGTAATTTACGAGAGAGACAATGTTGCCTTTATGGGAATATTCATATAACTCCTACGAAGTATCGATTCAACTACGTCGGCGAAATTAGCGTTCGGTTGAAAAACGGTATTAAATTAGACATACAACGGACAAGTACTCATTACTGGCGAACAAGACTCATTACCAATAAATCACACGTTGAAGGAAAACATAATCGATACCACCCGTGTTAAGTTTAATAATAGAATAACTATTCTACACCAATTCCGGATGCTAAGAAAATTATAGCACGCGAGTTGTGCGCCTGCCTTACCGAATGTAGAGAAAAAATACCACATTTTCTATTGGTCCGTGAAACAAGTTGCAAGGGGAGTTAACTACACAGGATTACTGTAGCAAAAAAAAAATTTTTCCAAAATTTTGTCGGTAGTCGCACAAGAATAGAGTTTTTTTCAACGCATAGTGAAATTACTAAATTTTTCATTTGGCTTTCTCTCTTAATTTTGATTATGCACAATAATTTTTTATGCTATATCCAAAAAAGCGTACTATTTAAGAATATGTAACGAAAATTAGTGGTTGTCCCCTTGACCATGGAGAAGTACGCCACTGACCACAAATTTCAAGCACGTAGATTGGTAACAAACTTTTTATAATTTTGGATAAAATTTTCACCCTGTATATTTTAAAGGTAACGATTTCGGTTTAGCATTTACCGCAAGGGAACCTGTTACTATTTGTTTATTGGAGCATCCCTTGAACGTAATAAAAATCCCCACCAAAGTCTGATG